CTCTCTTGGTCCATCACCAGCATCTGAGGTGCAGTGGTGGGACCCCAGCCCAGGAAACCAGCCCAGTACTAGTGTGCCCTGCTCCCTGCCCCATTTTTTGCACCTCTCCATTGCAACTGCATTGGCTTCACATTCAGAATCGCCACTCAGGCCAGCAAACACTCCGGCCCACAGTTTCTCTCTGCGACTACTTACTTGCACTTGAACTCTTGAACCAGGTCCCTGAGGCACCGCTCCTCGTTTTCCAGCCTCTCTCTCTCCCCCAGCACACACTCCAGCTGCTTCCTCAGGTTGCAGATGAAGTTCTCAAACACAGGCTCTAGGTTTCTCCTGGAAGCTGGGAGGACATACTGCTGCAGCAGCTCCCACTTGGTGGTCAGCACCTTGTTCTGCTGCTCCAGCAGCCGGACCTGGGGAACAAAAAGATGCGAGAGTCATGCAGCCCCCCCATTCTTGTCACCCAGGCAAAGGTGCCTTGGGCTGCTCCACCTCTGAAAGGAAAAAGTAAAAAGAAAATCAGGAATGCAAACAGTTAAGTATTGATTTCTCAGCAGCCTGAGTGAGACCAATATCTTCTCGGGGCTAAACCTGGTCCCACCCAGGACTTATGCCACGGGCTGAACGACGTCGGTGCGTCAGCTCTGCTTTGAGGCCAATCACCTGTTTGACTAAAGCTTGGTTCAACCCAACACCACCTCTTCCCCTGCCACAACTGGCTGGTCCACCGCCTCCCCGATGGTCTGAGTACAGTAACGAGCCTTTCACAGCACTGAAAGCTCCATCCAGGATCTCATTTGAATGTATCTGATTTAAACTCTAACCACGGATATTTATCATGCCTTTCACTTCTAGATTAAAGGGATCTCTAGTACTTGAGAACCTTTATGGATCATGAATAAGTCATTTTTACAAATGGGAGGAAGCAGAGTTGCTCCTCTTGCATAGGTTTGGTTTTTCCAGCTGCACAACCAGTCACAAGGAAAATCAAGATCAGACAGAGCAAAGGTTTCTCTGCCATTTGCAAAATCGTTTCCTACAACACGTCTCTGAAGAGGAATGAAAACCCTTGGGCTTAGCTAAGAAAACAATGACAAAGTACCTCCGTTTAGGAAATCACCAAATGGTTTTTTTCACAGAGTGGAGGGACAAAGAACTTAAAGTGATTCATCCTATTTTAAATAGACATCTGTCTTTTTACATCTCCTTGGTGAAGCACACGAGCTATTTTAAAAATGCCCAAGTCCTTCTAGAGGTGCAACAGCAATGTCAGATTGCACACTTGTAGTAACACCTCCCATTTTTCCTCTTTGTAATTCCATGTCTCCATCCCTTCTCTCACAGGTTTTGATCTACCATCTCCCCGGAGCCACTTCTGATTTGGCTATTTAGCAGGTCGGTGACCATCAAAAGGTAAAACACCGGCACAGTTGCCTCAGCATAAGGTTTAAATCCAGTCTCCAGAGCAGGACCACCGTGGTCCGTCAGGAACGTCTGCGACGTCCAGGAGGAACAGCCACCGATGTTGTCCCTCTAGAGACATCCCGTCCGTGGGACCCTGGGGATGAGAGGGGAAGGACGGGGGGAGTTCTCACCTTGTCAATGAAGCAGGCGAACTGGTTGTTGAGGTTCTTGATCTGCTCTTTCTCGTGGGTCCTCACTTGGCACTCCTCGGGGTCCACCCCCACACAGAGGGGCTTGAGGAGCTCCGGGTGGATGCTGACGCCCCGGATCCCTTCCGAACGACCTCCGCCAAGGCT